GAGCCACCTGATGTGGGCGCTGGAAACTGAGTTCTGCACTACAAGAGCAGCAAGTGCTCTTACCTGCTAAGCCTCCCTCGAGCCCAGCCTGATGTGTATTTGAGTGATCGAAGTGGTGGGGAGGCTAATGTCTGAATGACTTTTCTTTGCGCTGATCTAAAATCTCCCGAGAAAACCGAATCCACGCAGGGCAGAGGAACTTCTGTTACATGTATCTCTTGGGTAGGCAACTGGGGAAGAGATGCAGTAGTGAAGGGCCAATATGTGAGTAGAACCCAAAAAGCTGCTGAGTTAAGGTTCTCCTTAGTTCTAGGACAACAGTTGTGTGCAACCATGCCCAGTCTCTGTGACGCTCGCTGGCCATGGATTCCAGGGTCTAGACTATGGCTAGGCCAGCACTCTAGTGGCCAAGACACATTTCGAGTCCCCCTTTCTTTTTTCTCTGTTTGTCTCTATTTCTCACTCTTTTCCTCCCTCCCCTGGCCTCAAAGTCACAATCTCCCTTTCATAGACCTCCTGAGTGATGGGTGAATTTTTGCTTAGTGACATGCATTCTCGGTTTTGATGGATAGTAACATGGTCCCATTGGAGTCCCCTCACTCGACTCTACCTCACCTCCTCAAGTCAACCATCCAATAAGCACTATTAATTTTGCCACTTTTTTTTTTTAAATCCATCTCCCCTCTTCCACTGTTACTATCACTGACCTAGTTCAAGTTCCCGTAATCTCCCAGAGACAACTGGTCTTTCTGCCTCCAGTCTAATCCCCTTTCAATTCACCTTTCACACACTGCTAGACTAATCTTTCTCAGACATACACACACACACACACATATATATGACTATATCACTTTCCTTAACAATTCCCCCCGCCCCTACTCCTCAGCTGCCCAGCTCATACTGTTGAAATTCTGAGTAGAACATTCCAGACATTTTGTTCCATGTGTAACTCACAGCCTTCATTTTGGTCCCTACTCCAACCCTACATACACACCCAACGCTTAAGCCATAGTGACCTACTTTCAGTTCCCCAAATACAACATGCTTTATCAAGCCCCTGCACATACATGGAATGCTTCCTGTGCCAGCCCTAATTCATCTTTAAAATCCAGTGAGTCATTTCCCCTGACTTGCCCCAGCCTTAGTCTGCCACCAACTGCGGATGCCTCTCCCTCCAGCTCCCCACAATTTCCTGTACACATTTACACATTGCATCTACTTGCCTGCTTGCCTGCCTCCAACTGGCAGTGGGAGGCTCTCTGAGAACAAACTGCTTTTTATATGTTTTTGTATTCTTCATATCTATCAGAGGCTTAAAATAGGCGCTTGGGGTCTGTTGAATGAACAGGTGACTCGTTTGTTTTGTTTTTTGTGACAGGGCTTCTCTGTGTAGCCTTGGCTGTCCTGGACTCTTTATAGATCAGGCTGGCCTCCAACTCACAGCATGCCTTTGTCTACCTCCCTGAGGGCTGGGATCAAAAGGTGTGTGCCACCACGCCCAGCTCAGGGGACTCTTTTTTTTTTTTTTACTATTTTTTTAAAGATTTATTTATTGTTTATACAACATTCTGCTTGCACAGCAGATCTTACTATAGATGGTTCTGAGCCACCATGTGGTTGACTGGGAATTGAACTCAGGACCTTTGGAAGAACAGGGAGTATTCTTTACCTCTGAGCCATCTCCCCAACCCCCTCAGGTGACTCTTTAATAGGCTTCAGGTTGGACAAACTTGTGGCACAGGAGGTTCTTTGCATAAAGTAGCTGGTTTTTATTTTAGACTGCCTTATCTTGGAGAAAGGCCCTGGTCTTTTTTTTTTTGGTATAATATTTTTGATCACTCATGCAGCAATTAAGCACCTACTATGTTTCAAGTATTGCATAACTTTTTTTTAAATTAGAAAATATTGTGTTAAGCAAGAAAACCAGTTGTGGCCTCTAAGGACATTCTCTTAAGAGCTTTAAAGCAGCAAGAAATATGATTTTTTTTTTTGAAGTCCAATGCTTGGTGATACAAACATTTCATTCTACTAAAGACACATTCAGATAACTCTTCAAATAACCTCACAGTGACTTTCCTACTCAAACACAACCCAAGTCATCTTTTAGTGGCTACAGATAAGAAGTAGAATGAGGAAACCGGAAAGATGGCTCAGAGGTTAAGATTTCTTACTGCTGTCACCCACACCTGGGGATTTACAAACACCTAACTCCAGCTTTATAGAGGATTCAATTCCCAGATCCCATATGCTGGAAGGAGAAAGCTGATTCCAAGTTGTTATGGGTCCCCAACACTGGTATACCACTCCCTTCCTCAATTAAAAGAATGGGCGTGTGCGTGTGTGCGTGTGTGTGTGTGTGTGTGTGTGTGTGTGTGTGTGTGTGTGTAAAAAAAAAAAAAAAAAGGTAGACTAACATTACCGAGACTTACCACTTGGTGGCAGTGCGTCTCCAGGAATGAGGTGTCACAGGCCTAGGCCTTTAAAATAAACCAGCTCATAAATTATTCAAAGTTGTGGTATATCTCTAACATGATAGGCTTTCAGAAAAAGAAGAAAAACAATCTAGAGCTATTGCATTTACGATGGATGAAGTCCTGGCTTTGATTCTCAGCATAGAAGAAAAAAAAAAAAAATCAAAAAACAAAGAAGCAAACAAACAAAAAACACTGGAGGAGTGAAAGATAGGCATCTCTTTAGACTTTTCTTAATAAGCTTTAGCACCTGTCTTTGTTTGAAACAAATCGTAACAGAACACTTGAGAACGGCCTGAACATATTAAACTTAATTTTTCTCATGTATGTGTAACTCTAAGAATTTCTTTTTGTGTTTTTTTTTTTAAATGATGTGTGTGTGTGTGTGTGTGTGTGTGTGTGTGTGTGTGTGTGTGATAACTCTGGGGAGTCAGTTCTTTCCTTCCATTGTGGGTTCTAGGGCTAAAACTGTAGGGCTAAAACTTGTTGGCCTCTGCAACAAGTACCTTTACCTGAGTATCCATCTTGCTGGCCTGAACTGATCTGTAAATATTGATTCTGTGTGCTATGTAAAAATCTAAAGTACCTAACTTTTCAGAAGTATAAACTAATAGATAAAAATAAATTTTTATTTATTTGGATGTGTATGGGTATTTTGCTTGAATGTATGTCTGTGTTTCACATCTTTGCCTTTTGCCCATGGAGGCCAGAAGAGGGTGTTGGATCCCCTGGAACTGGAGTTACAGACAATTGAGAGCTGCCATGTGGGTGATAGGAATTGAACCAGGATTCTCTGGAAGAGCAGCCAGTGCTCTTAACCTCTGAGCCATCTCTCTAGCCCCTGAAAATAATGTTTTTAGGGGTAACAGAACATAGGAAGAAGGGAAACTTCAGAGGGCTCTCAAATCATGAAAAGCAGGGGACAACGGGCACCAGCAGTTCCTAGCTTTTTTTAATTCTGTTTTTCTCCCTTGCTAAGACAGAGATGACCATACCACTTACCTTACAAGCTTACTCTAAAGATTAAGAAAATGATTATAAGACAGACGTTGTATCACATGCCTGCGATCCTAGCACTCTAGGAGGCAGAGGCCAAAGAGATCTCTGTGAGTTCAAGGCCAGCCTGGTCTACAAAGTACGTCCAGGACAGCCAAGGCTACACAGAGAAACCCTGTTTCGAAAAACCAAAAGAAAGAAAGAAAGAAAGAAAGAAAGAAAGAAAGAAAGAAAGAAA